GAAATTGGTTAAGAACTATAGATTTTAGAAGGGTGCTCCGGTCTTAAGTGGGTCACACTGTATAAATATGGAGTTCAGGAATTTGATGTGAATGAGTGAATTCTCCTCATTACTATTATCATCCGCATTTGAAGGAATTCTACTGTACATTAATGTCTGCTTCCTTATTTTAATATATACAGGGTGTCCGGAAAGGTCATTTCGTGAATGATAGGGCTGATAGGGTGAGCCAAAATAATGTTAGTACGTAGTTATTGACTTTGAAAGTAAGAATAAAAAATAACGAATTTCATGTGTAACTTTAAAACGGTTGCCATGATATCAATGATATTCGGGCTGGTAAATGAACTCATACTAAAGCACCTTTCCATATTGCTTTTCATTGATTATGGTTCATACAGGATTGGACGAATTTTTTCCGATTAATGAAATCATTTTTGACAGAGATGACAAATTTGACATTTTGCTTTCACCGTTTGATCCCTCCATCTTTTCTTTACAAAAATGGTATACTTCCTTTCGATCGATATCTTGTACCGATCTAGAACAAATCGCATTCAAAAACATACATTCCAACCGTTTCAAAGGTAGTAAAACTCCATTTATTATCAATGTATGGATAGGAATAATTGGCAACTGCTCAATTATGGATCTTATATCATCAATAGAAATTCAAATGTAAATGACTATTCAACTTTTTTGCATATTCGAGGTGATATGTGGCTGATGCACAATGGTGCGCCTCCTCATTACGGCAAAGCTGTAAGACATCATTTCCACATCATATTTCCTTATACTCCATCTCCATGGCCACCTCGGTCACCTGATCTTAATCTACTTTGAGGTTATCTTGAATGTTGAGTCTATAAAACACCTGTTTATATAGGGGATGAGCTTTTGAAGCCAATGCTACATCTGCACACGCCGTAAGAAATGATCATCATCACAACATGTTATCTCGAAGTACAACGCAGATGATCAGACAACTTTAGAAAATACGTTGCTCATATTGCAAATATTGAAAACAAGTTTTGATAATCTTTTTGTCTTGATTGTTATCATCTAATAGGTAAATGAAGCTTCTATTTCTTCTGAAAAGGTTGGAATGTATGTTTCAACATGCGATTCTATCTAGAGAGATACAAAGATATCGATAGAGATAAAATATACTATTTTTGTTTATGAAAGATGAAGGTATGAGATTATTTACCTGCCCGAATATCATTGATACCATGGCAACCGTTTCAAGGTCTAAAATCTCCTACCTTATGTCGATATATCTAAAACTATAGTACCTATTACACACCGAGGTGGGAAATGGTTCATTCCTGTCGTGAGATTAGTTAACCGAAACGCAAAGCGAGGGCGGGAAGTAGAGGTGTGTCATGTGACACTTCCCAACCTTCAATGACGTTAGTAATGACAACATTACATACAGCGTGTCTCACTTTAAACGGCCCCCCTTTATATCTCAGTTATTAATCATGCGATTTCAACCAAATTTGGTGTGGTATGAATAACCATCAATATGATCAGTTTTACAGAGATGCACATTATTTTGGACAGTGCCGTGCGTTTTTATTGAAATAAAAATGGGTCGATTCTTCATAAAATCATATTAGGCATTTTTTTACATGGAATCTAACCCCATATTATTCTTCCTCATGCTTTCAAACCCCCATATGCAAAAAATCACCTAATTCCGAATTAACAGGATTGGCTTATTTTTTTTCATTTTCAGTCTCGCATAAATAGTGACTTCAAATCAACTACGAATTTTGGAACGTTTAATGGCTCCGGTAGGTGGAAAATCATGATTTGGAAGGAAAAAGGGGTTATACTTTTCCATGTTGAACTCACCGTTTCCGAGTAAATAATTATTACGTTCGCAAAGATGCTGTTTAGATGTGCCTGTTTTTCTGAAACCCTTCATAGGCATCTTAAGAAAAAATCCACCTATGTGGGTTTGAAACAATGAAGAATAATATTATGAGGTCAGTTTTCCTGTGGAAAAATGCCTAATATGATTTAATAAAAAACTGACCACTATTCATTTTAAATTTGGTAAAGATCGCACGACTGATAGTTGAGATATAGAGGGGGGGCCGTTTGAAACGAGACGCGCTGTATATGGTTGTAAATAAAATTACTTTCAATTTGACAACGAAATATATTCTGCGTCGAAAGGGTTGATTATGGGATATCCCCTGAGCCCTTTACTTGCTGAAATTTTCATGGATCACTTGGATCGAATAATACATAAACATTCATTGATAAAACAATGTTTGTATTCGCTATAGATACGTAGATGACGTTATAGTATGCTTTAAAGGAACCAATAGACTTGCAATTAGACACTTTTCACCAATGAATTTATACTATATTCATCCAAACATAATATTCACAATGGAAATAGAAACAGAAAAGTCAATCAATTTCTTAGATTTGACAACAAGTAAAATTAATGATAAACATGATTTTTCAATTATCCATAAACCTTCCCACACTGATATCACTATTCATAATGATTCAACACACCGTCATCCACATGAAAATGGGGCATAAAATAGTATGATACACAGGCTAGTGAATATCCCTCTTTCGGAAGTAAATTTCATTAAAGAACTCAATATCATAAAACAGATTGCAGTCAACAACGGATACAACGTTCATAATAAAGCTATTCAAGAAGTTTATCCTACCATTAAGAATAAAAATCAAAATTATAGAACTTCAACCTATTTCGGATCATCAACTGAAACATTAGCTCCATTTCTACATAAACAGGACTCAAAAGTCGCATAAACAGGGTGTCTGTAAAAGGTCTTTACAAAAACATACCACATATTCCTCAGACCAAAATAAGTCGATTTAAGTAAAATTACCTTTGTACAAAGTTGCATCGTTTGGCTCCATAGAGCCTTGAAGTGACAATTTTCAAATCGTTTTTCCCGGTTTTCCCATATAAATTTAAAACGGCATATGTGATTTTGCTGAAATCTGGTACATTGATAGAGTTTCATGTGGCGAAAAAAATGGTGTTAAAATCTTGTCCGATAATGATACATAGGCGTAGAACTTGATTTTTAAAATAATTGCACCTTTGAAAATTCTACGCCAATGAAAAAAAGGAGTTTGAGTATGAAATTTAGATTGCGCAACTCATTTACTTTAAAAAAGGTACTCCTGATAAGACTCGATTGCTCTCATTGTTTTGACGAAATTTGAATTTCAGTAATTCCAGAACATAAACAATAATTATTAAAATACAAACTTTGTCAAAACCATGAGAGTAAATCGAGTGTTATCAGGGGTATTTTTTTGTAGTAAATGAGTACCCAATCCAAATTCCATACTCAAACCCCTTTTCTGCCATAGGCGTAGAATTTTTGAAGGTGCAATTATTCAAGAAATCAAGTTCTACGCCTATGTATTATTATTATTCTTCTTCGACGTATAAATCTTTGTATGTAAACAATTTGAACAATATTTGTAGAATCTCTATTTATTTTGATTAAGTTGTAAATAAATATTTTTGTGAAACTTATACACTTTGAATTATTAATACAGAAATTTAGCGAAAACCATGAGAGTAATCGAGTCTTATCAAGAGTACCTTTTTTAATGTAAATGAGTTGCGCAATCTGAATTTCATACTCAAACTCCTTTTATTCCATTGGCGTAGAATTGTTGAAGGTGCAATTATTAAAAAAAATCAAGTTCTACGCCTATGGATTAATATCGGGCAAAAATTCAACACCATTTTTTTGCCACATAAAACTCTATCAATATACCAAATTTCAGCAAAATCGCATATGCCGTTTTAGATTTATAAGGGAAAAACAATTTAAAAATTGTAACTTCATGGCCCTCTGGAGCCCAAACGATGCAACTTTGTACTGAGGTAATTTTACTTAAATCGACTTATTTTGGTCTAAGGAATATGTGGTATGTTTTTGTAAAGACCTTCTACAGACACCCTGTATAAATAGAACAAATAACACGTTGAGAAGGTTTATCAAAAATAATAAAGACAAAACTTCTGAATTCAAAAAATCAAGGGTATACAAACTCAACTGTGGATCTTGTCCTAAGGTATATATCGGTCAGACAGGTCGTACGATAGATCAGCGCATTCATGAACATAAGATGAAGTTTTTGAGAAAGAAAACAAATTCAATAAACGCCAACCATATATTAGAAAAATAACAGAGTTTCTGATTTCTTTCTAGTTTCGAATTGTACACGTTGAAAATAATGGAATAAAACTCAACCATTTTGAATTATTATAAGAACTCAACAAATTCGAGAATTCTAACATTTCACTCAACGATCAACTAGAACTCAATAGTTCACCACTATTGAATTTGTTTTCTTAGTGGGTAATAATATGTATATTCACTATCAACCCTATTAAGTTAATCCGGTACACTGTATTTTAATGTAGATATTGTGCCTATTTTCCGAAAATGACGGTTTATCGAACCTGTACACATGTAATTCTAATCCTTCAGGTTGGGAAAGTAGGATATAATATAAAAGTTAGGCAAGCCAAGGTTAGTTCAGTTCATTATATATACCAGTATTTCACCTGATGAAGCTACTGTGTTAGCGAAACATATCGTGTGATTAAGGATTTTGCGGAAATCTTATCGTTTGTGGAGTTTTTGCATTTGTCATGAATTTCCATCGAGGCAATGGAAAAAATTATAATAATAACAGAGAAATCGACAAATTTCGGTTTTAATGCATATATCTCCGGAACTACTCGAAATCTGAGAACTTTCTGTACGGCATATTATTAGGCTTTAAAATGCCCAAATTTTCTCTAACCATCTTCGTATCTATCATGGTTCCCAAGATTCCCATGATAGACATATTTACCTTGGACACGGTGCATATGCGTTCTAATCACTCATGATTATGAATTCATACATGAAACCTCTCTCAACCAGGGATATAACATCATGAATATAGCTACCCTCATCCCACCAACTCACCTTTATCTTGAACATGGTCGTCACCTCAAAATACCCTTTGACATCGTCAACAGCGACAACAAACGGCGGAGCTGTAACGTTTCTCAACACCTTCATGGATACCATAGCCGCAATACCCACCCCGGTGGTTGCTAACAAAACCACCATATCATTCATAGAATGGACATTCAAGCACTCCCAAGGTCCTCTCCATCCGTTAACGCAAACGAAAGCGAAACACACCGTATACAGTCTCGACAGCAGATAGTACACGGTCCGATTGTGATCAGGATGCACATTCTTCTCGAAGACGGTCTGGAACACGTTGAAAACTATGTGCCCCCCCATGCCTATAACTATGGATACTAGCCCGCTGTTCAGGCTGCCCAGAGGCTCTAAGTAAAGGTCCATCAGCCCCCAAACAGCCCTCCAGTAACACACTACGCAAGGGCATACCACCAGGGCTGCGAAAAGGGCATCCAAAATCGCCAAGATGGTTAGATTTGTTCGTTCGCTGGACTGGACTTTATCGGTTGCAATATCAGTGGAGGTCCCAATCATCTTAAATTCGTCGTGATGTCAACCATTGAGAACTGTTAACATTGTTATAATAATTCACTCGGTCATTGTTCGGGTCGATTTTTGCTAGAGCGTAAAGACCTACTGTTGAATGCAGCAAATCGCGATAGAGTGGTCACCCTAAGTTTCCAGTAGGAGGGGTACCACGTGACCAAAGTGCTCTATGTTATGAAATCAAATTGTTGTTTCGGATGTGTACCTAGTTCCTGATGTCATGTTGGAGGTGGATTCGTGAATTATTGTTTATGTTATCGGATGATGCAGCATGTAAAATGTTAGCCAAGATAATATGAAAGAGAGTAATTAGAGTAACGACGACTAGACGTATCATTATCTGGAAGACAACAATTCGGAAGATTATCTGTTTAATAATGTGGAAAAACTATCTAGCGTGATATTATGAAAAAATATATCGATGCGTTACTATGTATGAGCAGAATCGGTTTAGAATTCGTAAAAATCTCGTGAAAACTCTTGCTTCCAATTTTATGCATACTATCTCAATCGCATTTCCAGACAATATGGCCTTTTGAAATATGTTCTCCCTCTAGCTAGAATAATATTATCGTTAACTTTTTTTAATCTTTGAAGAGCACAAATGGAAATTTCTACCATGTTCGTGGAATATCGTGATTACCAAGGAAGGCTAGGGAAGAGATTAAGGGAAGTGAGGAAGTTTGTTGTACCCTTAGGAGCTTGAATCCACGACTTTTGTGAGTACGTGAATGACCAGCCAAAGATACCCTAGCCAGATATTCCACAATCTTCAACTTGTCTTGGATGGTGTCTTTTTCTCCCTTGGGTTTTCAATCTTACCAATGGGCCACTCTTGACCAACTCTTCTTTCATTTTTCTTTCTCCCCCAAACTCCAACCCCACTATGGTACGGTAGGATTTTGTGGACATATCCGTTCTGATCACTCAGTTTTGGGAACATTTGTTTTGCAAGGATGGGGCGATTCGTGAACTTCTGTTCTTGGAAGAAAGAAAGAAACTTTATTTACTACTATATATTACAATGCCCCTTACAAAGAAATCCATCAAGAGAAAGACAAGTAGGAAAAACACTGGTTAGTCTCAGCAACAAGTCAAAAGAGTGTAAAAAAAGGAACCATACCTATTCGAAGACAATCCTCGACAGATAGTGAGTGAAAGTTATCGCAGCTCTCGCCAGCAGCGTGGTTTAGGAACAGAAAATACTCATAATAGTTGCCAGAGGGTTGATATTAGTTTTTGGATGAAATGATTTTTTTCAACGAAGCAATGCTGCAAGAGAAAATGTCACATATCTCATTGATGTTATTGTAATTGCTGCAAATTCTGTATAAAGGTGAGTTTTTTTGTACATTTGTTCGAGGTACTTCGAGGTGAAATAAATTGTTTTGCCTAGAATTGACTCTGGGAACATGAAAACTGAGCATGCTTAACAGAGCTCTACAGCTGATTTGGCCATGGATTACCTTATAAAGAAATATCAGAGCAGATATATTCCTCCTATTTTCGAGAGAATTGAAGTTATATCTCTCTAATAAAGCATTATTGGATATTCCAACAGCAGCAATTGTACCAAATGGAGACTTCACTATGAGGTTGCGTGCTATATTAGGACTATCATCTGTTCAATTATTATACCCAGGTGAGTGCAAGGAATCTCTCATTAGTGTCCTGTACACATCCATTCTTCACCTTGATTTTCCTGAAATGGTTTTGTTAAAGGAGAAAAAAATGGTGATATTCATATTCACAAACATACCTTAGAAGGAAAGCAATATGGAAAATATGATCGAAAGAACCTCAAAAAATATCTGAACCAATAAGTTATTCACATTGTTTTCCTCACAAAAGAGATAAGAGAGAAAAAGTATGACTATATACGCATGTACATAGTGAATTCAGTCAATTGATGGGCTCTCAATTTTTGTGTCCAACTTTTTTCAAACCACAGTTTTGTTACGTCGTACAAGATTTATATTTATTATCAATTGTGTTCCATGTCATGCTCTGCTTGGCTGTCTTGTCTACAATTGAGTTTTCAATCAAGCATTTTCAAGGCAGAACAGGTGAAATTCATTATTTTCGCAATGTTATGGTCGGAATATACAGGATATATAAAACTCAGTGCAGAAAGATTTGGAAGCTGATTCTTTGTCATATTTCAGGAAAAAGTTCACATCAACATGTTTCCTAGCTTGCTTAGTTTTTGGGCAACAGGATGTTGAAAATTAATGAATCAATTGTTTTTTCTTGGGTAATCACAAATCGACTTTTTATTATTTCATCAGAAAATAAGAAACATTAGAAAGTAACACAGGAAACAAGGAAGTTGTATTGTCAATCGTTCGAAAAACGAAACTCAAAAACCAGTGGGGTGCAATTTTATTCAGCATAAATATCGATAATTCAACCCACTGTGACGCCACTGGAATTTTTATCTAGAAGTCAATTGTATCAAGGGAAGCTTCATCTAACTATATCATCAAAACTATCACGTTTCATTGAAATGGCCAAAAAGACTTCTGAGTAGTTATTATATTTTTATTCTTGTACATGTGAAACTTGTATGGGTTAGATATTTTCAGGAACCAAAAGATTGATGTTAATTAGTTTACTCAGATTGGATTTCCTTTTCATAACCATCTATTATCGAATTAATGAAATGCTTGTCCTAATTGCATTAGATTGATTGTTCAATTGCTCATCCAATGATTAGTTAGTTGATTTTCAAGTTACACCCACAGCACTCTGTAGTACATTTATTGTGGATCCCAAATAATTTCAGACTGCAGATTTTATAACTAACATAATGGTGATGAACATTTTTTGGCAAACTTGATTTTTATCATTGCATCTATGGTTCAGAAAATGATGAGTCAATTTTATTTTTCATTTGGTATGGATCAAGGCCAAGTGTAAATGTAAAAGGTGACTCCAAAAGCTCCTTCACAGCGAGATTTGAAACTTTTGAATGTTTGGAAAGAGCAGAAGAAAATAAGTATGACAGAATGTATTTAGTATTTCCGCATACCAGTGTTACCAGATGAAAATTTGTCGGAGCAGTAGATGGGTGAGGAAAAAACAGTAGATCATCAAAACTGAACAGTGTAGATATTAAGAAACATCACAATTTGCTATTATAAGTGGAAATACATAGTCACCTATATAATAAATGGAAAAAAAATATGCTTGGTCTCGATACCTATTAAAAATCGACTAAAGAATAACAAAATATAATTAAAGAAATTGTAGAAACCGCAAGCAAATTGATAGTTGCAGTATATTTTTATCTCACATCTTCTTACTGTGATGCCCCATTAATTTTTCATTGTTACATATTAGGTAGTTATGTCATATCAAAACATGACCATGTAGAACGGAGAAAAAAACAGTAGATCTACTGTTAAAATAGTAGGCCTGGCAACGCTGCCGCATACAACTTTTTTACGTATTAACTTGAGTCAAATCTAGAGGTTTTAATTATGAGGTGGCACAAAATCAAATGAAAATAATTTGTCGCTCCAACTGGCACTTTTCCATTTTCAATCCATGAAATCATCAACTATTACTCCTGATTTTTTGTTCCCACCTACCTAATTGAAAAACTAGAGAACTAGTTCGAATTTGAGACAAACTATTATTATCAATGACTAACTTTGAATACCCTGTATGTGTGAGAACATACACTACATTTAAAACAACAATTATGAATATGAAGAACAATGCCCACTCCGAAAAAATCATAACTTTCCTTTAAAACAAAAATGACGACGTTGCCACAAATCTTCATTCTGAATGTCAAACATACCAGAAAATAAAATGAAATTGAGATGTTTAACCGCATTATTATTTAAGCTAGAGATAATAATAATAAAATAAAACAGTCTGTACGTACACTTGATATTTCAAATCGCTGTAAGTGTCAAGTCGGCTGATGTTTTTTGTTTGAAATAAAATTATGATTCTTCCAACATTTTCATAATTGTTATTTTAAATGTAGTACAATCAACAGATGTTATTTATGATGATTTTCTCACACATACAAGTTAGTCATTTTTATAATAATAATTTGTCCCAAATATACGGTCATGTCCACTCGTTTTCGATATATGGTTGGGATCCAAAAATTAGGAGAATGGGAAATAATTGATTATTTTATTGATTATCAATGGAAAAGTACCATCTGGAACCACAAATATATTTCACGGGGTGTTCGACTCTAAACCTACTTTTACATTTTTTCAAGGCTGGCTCTGGAATGATACATTTTTCATTATGTCAATCGTTACCACTGTGGACAAAGAACATTCAGAACAAATATCAAAAATATGTATAGGGTGCCTGGTTCATAAATTTTATTATGAATAATCGAAAAAATGGAGGAAATCAATAAATCATGTATTATAATTAGTCCTTCAAAGGGCCACGACAGAAATGGAAAAATATGTAGAGGTTCCAAGTTTTTGTTGTCATTCATAATATTCAAAAGCATCGTTTTCCTGTGTAGACATTTCGAAATTTTTAGAATGAATTTCAATCCATAAACATCTAGGGAAGCAATCAATGTTGGTAATTTCAATTACAAAATCAGTAAAAATACTGCGGAAAATAACGTTTTCTTTAAATCAGAAGTGAAAATATTCACGTTAATTTTATGTTATTATGTATTCATATAACGTTATGGTCATAACCAAATTGACGTGATAAAATCAAAGAGAAACTTATTTTTCACCCATTCAATGTTGATTAAACATTGAAGCACTACATGCTATGTAATAAAAAATCTGCGAGATACTGTATCTACAAACATCCTGAAGTTACTTTATTTTGGGCTGGTTCAGTCAACTCTGCAATATGGCCTGATATTTTTGGGGTCCTCTTGTCACTTTGAAAGGGTATTTGTAACACAAAAAAGGATAATGAGAACAATTTGTCATGCCCATCCAATGAAAACATGTAAACCACTCTTCAAGAAATTTCAAATACTAACCCTACCATGTTTGTATATTCTTGAACTAACTATGTACATAAAAATGAATCAAAATGAATTCATGAGAAATGAAGATATGCATATGTATAATACTAGGAATAAAGAAAAATTTC